GTTTTATAATCCGTGAGAACTTTTACGGTACTTCTGACCCCTTATGACTGTGACTCCAAAAGCAAGAGTGGCAGCTGTGTGTGGCATTCACAAATGTGTGTCCTGGTTCTTAACAGTTCCAGGAGCTGCTGCCATAGTTGGAACAGTCCTGTAGCTGTTCTGATGGTCATATTTACACTTAGATATCTATAGCACATCAAGACAAAATGTGCTGCTTCACCCTAGAATATGCCACAGTTACTGCAGTAGTCTGTGGTGTTTGTCTTCTTTCACCATCTGTTTGTCCAACACATGGACAGAATAACAGGTGAAAGTATGACACAGAACAGTATTTAGATCCAAGCTGCATATGCTTCAGGATTCTGGATCCCAGAGGCAAATAAAATTGGAAAGGAGTGCTGAATGTATTTGAGTACCACAGAAAGAAAAGAATAGTCAAAAGTAGGAATTGAAGGGAGGAGCAATGTGCTGTGTTTTTTTATGTCCATATGAAGTTTAATGCAAACAATGTGATGAAAAGCCTGTATGTACACTGGAAAACATTGGGTAGCCTACTGTCTGAATGCTCAAAATTCACATGAGAATGTGATTCAAATCATTGCAATACATGCCTCAAACAACTGTGAGTATGTTACTGAAGGTAACAAGAAACCAAATACATTAAAAAAGAAAAAAAACCCACAACACCACCACAAAGAGCCCCCCAAAACCCCAAAGAAACATTCTTTTCCTACTTATCTGAATAGACAAAGCTTTTGCAGTGTAAGAATACGCATATGACTGGTATATTAAAGAGCATAAATTTTACTAAACTGTTACAAAATAACAAAGATATTCTACCAGCATTTTTATATTTAGAATTTTACTGCTTTATTGTACTTCAGAGGTGGCTTGATTTTTTCAAAAGCTATTTTATGTGAGCATTTGGCTTATCAGAAATAACTGTTACTTGAGTAGCTGTCATGAGGAAATTTCAGTCTCTTAGAAAGCAGCATTTGTACTTGCAAAGCATATTCTGAGAAAATGAAGTCAAATTTTACCTGAATTTTAGGGAATGCTGTGGATTGTGCTGAGTAAAGCCTTTTCTTTGTCATTGTAAGGTATTTCTTAGAATCCTGGTGATTAGGAGGCCTGATTTAATGTGTCAATGACGTTATTTTTTTAGACTAAGGAAAGGTTGTGGAGCTGGCTGCAATAGCGGTGGAAATATTGAAGATTCAGATGCTGGAGGTGGAGCTTCTTGCACAAGCAACAATGCAACTATCAATGAGTCGCAGAGCAGCATGTCACAAGGAGGAGGGAATATAACTACAGGGCAGGGACCTGGAGCAGTACAACACCCTCCTGTTGCATCTCATCCCACAACTCTTCCTGCAGCTCATCCACCAACTCATCCCTCCACTCTGGGTAAAGTTAAAATAAAACAAAGCAACAATTTTATACAAGTACAACCCTATAGCCAGAACTGACCTTTCAGCTCTTTGGATCAAGCCTAAATTAAAAGAAAAACTGAACAAAAGTGACTCGAATCCAGCAGGTGTTAACACTAAATAATCATCTCAAACTATAGTGCTGTTTTATGCAATGCAAGGTTCCCGTGCAGAGATTTGAGCAATAGAGATATAGTTGTGCTGGCAAAATAGATCAAATAACTTTTATAACATATGTTGAAAGATTGGATCTTTTCACTTATGTCATATTGTCTGCAAATACTAAACTTGTCATTTTTTGTGAATGTCTTTATGTTTCTTATTTATACAGTGGAATGGATTCTCTTATTTCCATAGTATTTTAGCTGAATCCTATCCAAGAGTCTGTAGTGATCTGTAGTCAGAGGTGATAAACGGTAAAGCCGAGAAAAAGCTTTCCAAACACTGCCTTTACTCACAAAGAATATAAAAATTTATGTAGTTGAATGAACTTTTCTTTTTTACACAACATAATTAGGCCTATCAACTGTGGAGAGGTATCTACCAAGTACTTAGTAAAGGAAAAGCAATGACCCCAGTGCACATAAACTGCAATTCTTTTTTTTTCACGTTAAGTGCATTAAATTTTTCTGAATTTAGTTAAAAACAACTTTTTCTTTAAAAATTTTCTGACTCAATCTTTGAACATCTCATCAAGCATGTTAAGAAAGAATATTTAGTATTTTGAAACATGGACCTTGGAAACTTAAGTGTTGATACTGAGAAACAAATTGTTAATGTGAGAAGAGCAAGTCTGAAGCATTTTTCAAGCTACTTGCCTTGCAGGGGTTGTGAATTGAACAGAACATGAAATTGCAAGATAGCTGAATGGAATGTGTTCAAATGCTTTGCTATACGAAACGCAACAGAGATCTGCAATACAGCTGTTTCAGATATTGTTGATTAGACCCATCAATTTTGTATCTAAGTGCTGAAACATTTGTGTGTTGGAAATCTAATGTGTGTGGGAGGCTTTATCAAACTCTCCTGATTCTGTATCTTTTACTTTTAGGCACCAGTCACAGCTCTCACTCTGTGCAGTCAAGCCTTGTCAGACATTCCCCTGCCCGTGCCTCAGTAGCTAGCCATTCATCTTATTGCTACGGCAGTCGTCATTCATCTCTTCGCACATCCACAACAGGATTTGTGCCTTGTCGGCGCTCTTCCACCAGTCAGATATCCCTTCGTAACCTCCCATCATCCATCCAGTCCCGCCTTTCTATGGTGAACCAAATGGAACCTACTGGCCAGACTGGGGTCAGCGCGCAGCATGGACTGCCCTCTTCTAGCAGCTCCAGCCAAAGCATCCCAGCCTGTAAACAACATGCCCTTGTGGGCTTTCTAGGGACAGAAGGAGGGAGTAATGCAACTGAAACTCAGTCAGGTGGTAATGCAAGCCCTGCAAATCAAATGCAAGCCAAAAAGGATGACGTTATTTACAGAATCCAGGTGAATAGTCCAAAAGAACAAGTTAAACTGTGCTTCATGTGCTTTTTTTTAGCGTTACCTCGTATGTTGTTGAAATCACTACTTTTAAATACACACGTAGTCTGGAATGTCTCAGTATATGACTATTGTGCAGTTATGTTTGGAGAACTACTGTGAGAAAAAGGTTTTCTGGACAACCAGCCTTCCTGCATGCTTAGACAATCCCCGTTTATATTACTTATGTTTTGCTGTAGTGCAGCTTTGAGAACGTCAGCTGAACTCAGTCCCACTTCATACTTAGTTTGCCTTCATTCATTACAATATATAAAGCAAAACAGGTTCATTTGTGGGGCAGAAAGCAGCTAGCTTTTTTTTCTTTTAAACCAAGTAGCTTTTCCACAGAAGTAAGTGTAAAAATACTCACTTTCGCTTTCATATGTATTTATTCATTTTCATATATACGTATTCTTTGGTTATTGGCACAAGTCTGGGTTTACTGAGCAGCAAACAGTACACCATTGACTAAGTTAATCATGGCAGCCTTGTTTTGTGAAAATCCAGAAGTTTGTATTCTTGCTCTTCTAGCTTTTGTTATCCCCACATACATGTCTTTGGCAGTATATTCGTGGGAAACATCAAGAAGTGTTTTTAACAGGATAGATCATAACAAATGTAATTTCATTGCTGGTATCACCTCATTTTACAGTAATCCTTAGTAAACCACGTCATAGTGGGCAAAGTCAACAAATTAATTTTGCAAGTCTGTGCTTAGTAGCTTTTGTTTGCAGACAAGGGCCCTTTTATGAAACTGCTTAATTCCTCTGTGTGAGGAGGATACAGGCAAAGTTGGCATGTGCCCTTGGACAGTGGACATGATGCGGTTCTCTCTGTCATTAAATAGGAAGAAGTTTTCAGGAGTTTTCTCCTGCTGCCTCTGTGGAAAGGCCAGTTTACTTCAAAACACAGGGTGGGTCTCAACTAACCATGCTAGTACTTAAGTAGTTCTTCAGCCCAACAGTAAATTCTCCAAGACCACGTTTCTTAAGATATTCTGTAAGAAGTGATGAGCCAGTTTTAACAGCTCATCATCACTTAACTCTCCCCTGTTACTTGGACCATGTGCTGCCAGTGCTTATGTTGTGCCATCTCCTCAGACGCTGCCAGGAGTCAGTGTAACTGAAAGAAGGGGTGGGAAAGGGAACCAGAGCTGCTGCTTGAGACAGCAATGAACTGGTGTATTGTCAGCTGTGACTGAAACTGTAGCCCGATTTCCAAATCCTGCGGTGCTCAGGCTTTTTCCTAGCCTGGAGCTTGAGTTTCCCGTGCTGAAATAGGTCAGAAATTGATTTCTGTTGGTTAAAATCAGTTCTCTGGAAGTATGCAAAAGGTTACAGTTTATCTGTTTCTTTTAAATTTTGGCTGAACTAACAGTCAAAACTCAATTCCTACTTATAGTTAATGGATCCTAGTCAAGTACTGGAAGGGATCAACGTGTCAAAAAGGAAAGAGCTGCAGTGGCCAGATGAGGTGATACGGCTAAAAGCTGGAAGAAACAGCTGGAAAGACTGGAGTCCTCAGGAAGGCATGGAAGGCCATGTAAGTTTTGCTTAGAAGTTGACAAGCTAATTTTAAAAGAGGCAATGTCTTGATTCTGTGGCAGCCTGCTTAGATGTCAAGGCCAAAGATAGGTATAGTAGTAAGTTGGATCAGCAGCTGTCCTCTAAGTCACTGTTGCTGGAAGAGCAGGTCCAGAATCCTAATTTTAAGCAGAGAGATATTTCTGCAACTGTATCCAAAAGATGCAGGATGATGATTCAAATGTTGTCGACCACCTCTCCTTCCTTGCCTTCTTCCAGCTCTTGTCATGAACCCTCAGGCATTGTGCACATTCATCCAGCCTTCATTTTCCTTTCCTTAAACTGTCAATCCTTGAGCAAATACAGAAGGTGAATTTACCATTGAGTCCTTAATTGAATGGTTAACAGTATTTGGTTTTAAATTATTCTGATGAAAATGGAGCCAAGAAAGATTGTCTTTAGATGCCTCTTTATTAGATAAGGGGTAAGTGATAGGTGTTTACTTTCCTTTAAGAAGGAAATCTGCTGTAACTGAAACTTGTGAAAGCCTATGACTTGAAACTCCGTCTTCCTTTTCCCTAGGGGTGTTATATCTGTGTTTTATTAATATTCACTGCTTTAGTTAGAAAACTTATCTGCCAATTCAGGCTCTCTTTAGGAGTTAAAAAAAACCCAGCTCTATCTTTGGATTTTTTTTATTTTTACTGAGGTGTATGTGTTTGGGCTTTGTTTTTATTTTTAGACCTTTGTGTCTATAAAGATGCTCCAGTGAGTATTTTTTCCAGTGATAAATAGTAGAAGGGAAGAGTCGCTGATATGCCTCCATTGGTTTGATACAACTGTATTTTCATTTGGAGTATGTCAGTTCTGACAGTTTATAAGAATTTGCTTTGAGACTGCTAACCTCAGTCGGAGGCGTTATTCATAAATTGGATTCGGAGGCTGGATTTTGCTTTCTGCAAGTCCACATCCACATCACTGTGGATGAATATGTGAACTCCAGGTAAGAAATGGCAATACGCTGGTAACACAGTGTATGCCAAATCTACCTTGATGTTATATGTACGTGAAGAAAGGGCCCTGGAAATAAATTCCTTCCACGAATTGTATCATAGTTCATGGTCCACTCTTTAAGATAGCAGGGTTACCTTGTAGGTCGCACCTAGGAGTAGAATTTTGTTATAAACATTTGTAATTATGTTGGGTTCAGATGTTATACTTTTGAAACTTCCTTGTTAGCTATTGCAGATCAAGAATGTTGTGAAGATGGTGAATGTAAAGGGTTATTTCTGAAACATGTCCTGTTGCCTGGTATCATTGGATATTTTTTTCAGGAGTTCATAAGTATGTTTTGCATTGCAGCATGCTGACATGCACAGTGATTGATGTTACAGAAAAATTAAACCAAGAGGATTTCAAGGTTGGACTAAGCTACTGTTCTGAATGCTTCTCGTCTATTTTTGGTGCAGCATACTGGCAGGTCTTTTTAGAAGAGCATCTCTTAACCTAAGAAGAAAAGGGGAAAGCACCAGATCATCCTATTTGTGATTAGGAGAGGATTTAACTTGATGACGTAGTTTCCACTGCCTGCTTCAGCTACCTGTGGTTAAACATACTAGTATCAGTAAAGCCATTAGCTCTTAGGACAGTCCTCCCTTTCTGATCCTGCGGCTGTGGTCCCTTCTGCAAACAGGCAGAAATGATTATTACCTGCTGAGATCCTGCTCATCAAGCAGTTTACCAGCCAAAGCCTTGTGTCATTGCATTCTTGGTGTGAAGTTCAGAGCTCAGTTGTTCAAAACTTCTCTACTATGTAGAAAACAGCATTTTTCCTAACTTTGCTTTTTATTTTGATAAGTATACAGTACAGTATATGTAACACACAAAGACATTATAGGATTTCTTCAAGGAAATTAAATTTAGCAATCCTCTTTGTATTGTAGCTGCTTTTCCCAGGACTTTGAGATTAAAGTATACTCTGTGTTATCTTTCTGTGATACCTGACACTGGCATGGAGAAGAGTCCTTTTCCTCCCAAGAGATTCTTATCACCTCTTGACTATGTAGTGGCATGATTTTGCATGTTATCAGTCATTCGTGGGTATCAAATGCCAATCATGATAGAAGAGATAGTAAAACTGAGTGAGGGGGGATGGATGCAGTGATTTATAATCTATGTACAACTTCTGCATATACACAGTTTTTAAGGAGCTACGGTATTGATGCCTTTGGAGTCAGCCCTTAGCTATATCAAAGGCATCAGTTTTACATTGGACAACAAGGTTGTAGTACTTGGACTTTATTGGGAAATGTTTTGTGTGTCTGGGGATAGAATATTCCTGGTCTTACTCTGTAGAGCAGCATAAAAAGAGTATTTGTACAGATTTTTGGAGTCAGACTTGAAGAGGCCACTTAAATATCATACTGTTGCATCAAACAAAGGGCAAGTACAGATGCCATGCTTCCCTGGCTGAAATGCTCTCCGTGTGGATGCAGCGTAGATCTCATGCAGCGGACAAAACTGAATCTCCTTCACCCACTGTTAGAGAAATCAGCAGCTGTCAGCTGGGTATAGTGAGGATTAATCATAGAATGGTTAGGGTTGGAAGGGACCTTAAAGATCATCTAGTTCATAGATTCATAGATTTCTAGGTTGGAAAAGACCTTAGAGATCATTGAGTCCAACCGTCCCTAATCCCCATTAAACCATATCGCTAAGTAGATCATCCACCCTATTCTTAAACACATCCAGGGATGGGGACTCAACCACCTCCTCCCTGGGCAGCTTATTCCAGTGGCTGACAACCCTTTCAGAGAAGAAATACTTCCTAACATCCAGCCTGAATCTCCCTTGACTAAGCTTATGCCCATTTCCTCTTGTTCTATCACCCAACGCTATATGTAAAGAGCCCTTCCCCTACCTCCCCAC